AAAAAAAATCCGGAAAAAACCCCAATGAACATTCATATTTTGTCAGTGATTTTTTAAACTAAAAAAATAAAAAAAAAATAAAATATATTATTTTTAATTAAAATAAATTTCACCAGTAATCTTTTTAAATTTTTTTTTAATTTAAAAAATCACATACATGATATATATTTTTTTAATTAAAATAAATTTAATAATAATTATTTTTTTTGTTTGAAAAATCACTGACAGAATATATTTTAATTTGAATTAAAATAAACTTTATCAAAAATCTTTTTTAAATGTAATTATTTTTTTTGTAAATGTAAGTATTTTTTTGTTATATTTGTTTAATTTTATAGATCTAAATACTTTTTGGTTCAAAAAATAATTAGGGGCTTAATCGTTCAAAATATGGATGTTCATTGGGTTCTTTCCGGATTTTTTTTCACTATTTTACCACTTTAACTAGTTGTACAAGTCATAAGAATGTATCTAATATGTTTTATAAAAGTTCAAGAAGTTATTTAACATGTTTTGGATTGTTTAACGACTTATTTGTTCCAAAAATTATTCAAGGAGTTATTTAACATTTTTTGGAATGTCCAAGGACTTATTTGTTCCAAAAATTGTTCAAGGACTTATTTAACATATTTTGGAATGTCCAAGGACTTATTTGTTCCAAAGAATTGTCCAATGACTTATTTAACATATTTTGGAATGTCCAAGGACTTATTGTTCCAAAAAATTGTCCAAGGACTTATTTAACATGTTTTGGAATGTCCAAGGACTTATTTGTTCCAAAAAAAAAAGTCTAAAGACTTAATCATTCAAAACAAGAAAGTTCATTGATTTTTATTGTATTTTTCCCCAAAAAAAAAAATAAAACCACTAAATAGATCGGGAAGAGACATGGGCTCTTATTTATGGTATGGGTATACAAATATCAGCAACTTTTTGGTAGCCCAAAAGCAATCCCGAACCCATCAGTGATTCACCAGGCCCAAAATCAGTATGAAGTTTTAAAAAATAAAATTAAACTATAATTAATAAGTTTATATCAAAAGAATTATATATTAAATCCAACATGTTAATATTTTGAATGATAAAACTAATGATGATGTCTGGCTGGTTTGAGTTTGGGCTTCAAAGGTTAAAAATTGTCTGTAGGTCTCAGGTTTAAATCTAATGAGGAATAAAAATTCTTTTGTGGCCATGAAGATTCAAATGCGGTGACTCCGAGTTACCTGCAAAGTAGGTGGTCGTTCTAGGATTAGTCGGCTCGCATAGTAGGTTGGATATCCAAGTTAATAATAATTAAAAAAAAAAAACGATCAAAACTCGCATGTGAATAAAAGGAAATCATCCATATACTTGAGGGACTACAACTGTAAATTATTTCTTTGAAACGAAGCAAAAAAAAAGCTTTAAAACCTACACAGTGTTCCATCAATTTTAACCTCGCTCAACATGGAGATCCATGGAAATGCTTCCACTCTATGGCCGACACCACCAACGGAAACTCGCCGGAGGATCGTATTGTTTCCGATGCCTTTCCAGGGTCATATCACTCCCATGCTTCAGCTCGCAAACATTCTTCACGTCCAAGGATTTAAAATAACCATCATACACACTGAATATAACTCTCCCAATCATTCAAACCATCCTCACTTCACCTTCAAATCCATCTCCGACCGCTTTTCCGAGATCACAACGGCAGACTTAGACGCCAGCTATTGCTTTAAGTACCTTAATAAGACCTGCGTAGATCCGTTTAGGAATTGTCTGGCTGAGTTGTTGGAGGATTATTCCGATGAAGAACCAGTTTCCTGTATAATCACAGACGCCGGATTCTACTTCACGCAGGCGGTGGCGGACGCACTGAAAATTCCTCGCCTGGTGCTCGAGACAAGCAGTCTTGGTTGTACTGTCGCTTCGGACATTTTACTCTCATTATCTGAGAATCCATCCTTCACCCTTCCAAAAGAAGGTGGTGGGTTTCATTCACTTCATTCTTCATCCTTCATGTTCATGATTAATCTTGCATCTTATTTCATTTTGGGATCGTGATCATCAACCACAATGATAGAGCTTAACTGGTTGATCTGTTGGTTTCGGTTTCTATATTGTTTTTTGGTATTATTTCGGTTTAAAAAGTTGGGCCCAAAATCAATCCAGACTATTAACACATGAGTAGATGTTTTCAGATCATGAGACATTGGCTGTGGAATTTCCACCTCTGAAGGTTAAGGACGTCCGAAAGGGCACAAGAGACCCGAAAGGTATGGGAGAACTTGTGATCAACATGCATACTCAGATGAAGGCGTCATCGGGAATCATTTGGAACACCTTCATAGAACTCGAAGAATATGCATTAGAAACCATTTTCCAAGATTATCAGATTCCAAGTTTCACTTTAGGCCCATTCCACAAGTACTTCCCGGCATCCTCGAGTAGCTTGATTGAACAAGACCGAACTATTCTCTCATGGCTAGACACACAAGCACCCAAATCTGTGTTATATGTAAGTTTTGGGAGTGTAGCACGCATAACTGAGTTAGAATTTCAAGAAGTGGCACATGGGTTGGCTAATACTAGTTTACCATTTTTGTGGGTGGTTCGACCAGGGATTGTTTCTGGTTCAAAATGGCTTGAGTTGTTGCCTGAAAAGTTCCTAGAGAGAGTGGGTGATAAAGGACGTGTAGTGAAATGGTCTCCCCAACAAGAGGTGCTTGCTCATCCGGCAACAGGATGTTTTTGGACTCATAATGGATGGAATTCAACATTGGAGAGCATATGTGAAGGAGTTCCAATGGTTTGTTCTCCTTGTTTTGTCGACCAGCCAGTAATTGCAAGATATGTGTGTAACGTTTGGAAGATTGGCGTTTTTTTGGAGGACGGTTTCGAGAGGGGTGGGATCGAGACTGCGATCAAAAGAGTAATGATGGATGAAGAAGGACAAGAAATAAGCAAGAGAATAGGTCGTCTAAAGGAGAAGATGAACATCTCTCTTGAAAAAGGTGGCTCTTCTCACGAGTCACTGAAAAGTTTAGTTGATTATATTTTATCGTTATAATTCATTTGTTAGTATGGATCATGGAGAAAAATGGATCGTTCGAATTTCATATTTAAATAATTCGTATTTGAAACTCTATGAATGATTAAAAAAATGGTTTATCTGATTTTCTGATCCATGCAAGTTTGCCAATCTTAATTGCTATATTACTAAGGACTCGTGTCATCTTGAAGATGCAATAACAAGTAGTAGAATTTGAACAAATCAACGACATGATTGGAATACAAACACATGTAGCAATCGTGTTTGATTTTGCTTTGGTTGTATTACTAAGGGGCTGTTCGGTTCATTTTTTGTTAAGACCTGTATGGATATAGTTGTCTGTATTGATATAGTTCTCTGTATAGTAACAGATAAAGTTGTTGTTCGGTTGTTGTGCTGAATAAACAATCTGAATGTAAGAAATGATCATTCTACCATGGTCTTTATTTTTGTCTGAAATAAAAAAAAAATACAAACATCAAAGTGAAACCCTCCTCCCCCTCTTATTTGTTCTTCTTAGCAAGGAGGATGTTTCGCCTAAGCCTTAGGCGGCCACTTCCCCCCCCCCCCTCCCCCTTCGCCGCTACCTAACTCCACCTTCTGTCCTCCATCGACGACGGTCTGAACAACATCCATGGCACCACCGACCAGCTTCGAATCATCTTATATCTCCACAAGAAGGAACCTATAATGGTGGATATAGGAAGGAACCTGTGATGGTGGAGATGGAAAGGAACCTCTGATGGTGGAGATGGAAAGGAACCTCTGATGGAGTCTCCAACAGGTCTCCAACAAGAGGGAACCTGTGATACGATGGTGGCAAGTCTTCAACAAATCTCCAATGTGAATCGAAGCGTGAAGTGAAGTTTTTGTAAAAATACGGTTTTTTTATTGCATTGGTAATTAAAGGAAATAAAGGAAAAATTACATGGCTGAGTGTAAAGGAGTAATGGTTTTTAGTTGACCGATTAAGTCATCAGTTGAACGAATAAGGCACAACCGAACAACTATTTATAGCTGAGCGAATAAGCCATATAGGCCATCCAGCCCATTAAGCTACAACCGAACGGAACCTAAGCTATAATTGATGTTGAAATAAAGGGTGTTACCTAAGAGTTGAGTTCTAAATTATTGTGCTAAAATCTTAAAACCACTAGATATTTAGATACAAATTGATGAATGATTAGGTCATTAGACGAAAATGATAGGACGACCAAACCATACCACTTCATAACTAACTCACGCATTTAATTTTGTCAATTTGATGGCATGTGAAAACTATTAAACATGCAGGTATGTTTTATCAAACCATTTTATACCTTGTACTCGTTATAACTTGAGCTGTCTTGCTCACTTGACAAATATAGGAGTGTTTTTTCGGAGATGATGGTAGGTAGAGGTTGTGGCTACATTGAAATACCTAACCCTAATTCGGTAGTCAATTTGTCCATTGTCAAACCGAGATGCGTATTTGTGGTTAACAATAACTTGGTAATTTAACGTATGATTCATGGGGTAAAAACGAGTCAACGTTGTTAGCTTTAGGTGGTATGCCGTTATCGAAAATATGAAAAGTTCAGAAAAAGATTTGAGAATACAAATGAATGTAGAACACAAAAGCTACAAGCATAAAAACCTTGCAAGAATCCGAGATTTATGAAAATTAGATTGCAACGATATTGAGAAGGGCTTGAAAAAGTTTGTATTGGTGCAATGCAACGAGATATATCTCGATTTTAATGTTTCACTTTATTGTTCGTCTCTATCGATGTTATAATACGATTTTATGTAGTTATGAGAAAGCAATAATATTTTTATTTTTGAATAAAATATAAAATTGAAGACGTGATAAAAAAATTGAAAAAATTATATCAATATTAGTATTAAATTAACTATTCGAAAGTTTTCATTTTTTATTAATTTTTTTAATTCAAAATTTTATATTATAATTTAATTTAAGTTTAATGACAAAGTAATTTGTTTTTGGTTTAATAATATAATTTTTTTTATACAAATAATAATTAAGTATTCTGTTATAACTCAATAATAATTCTAATTATATTTTAGATCTTTTATATTTAAAATAAGATATTTATCATGTATTTAATTACGTTTATCTGTAGTTAATTACACGAATTCAAACATGAAGCTTTAATAAGTTGTACTTACACTTACACATAACCTACTTGTGATCTTAAATTTTAAGTAATATGTATCAATGAGCAGTACTTTATGCATAAAAAATAGTTGTAATAGATTTTGTCTAATGCTTTATAATATGGTATAGATATAGATTAAATTCAAATATTTTTTTTAACCTCCTCTTGAAAAATATATTATGTTGATTATATATATAATAATATTTAAATTAAAGTTATTTAAATATTCATCAAATTTTAAATAAAATTTATTTATTAAATTGAGTTTATTATAAATTAACTAAAAATATTTTCAGAGATTGTTATTTATTATTCTATATATAACTAATTAAATTGAATCTAACCCTATACATACTACATATAGGGGTCAAATCAAATAGAAACCGTCCATAAATTAGAAATTTTATGAATCAATATTTACCACACATTTTTGACTACCATAATTGTCTACCTTATCAACCGTTTCTTAAAAAAAAACTCACTTTTTCCGTTTGAAATCACTTGATCATATTTCGTTGGTGGACACGACATTGTATTCAAAAGATATCGATCTCATGTGTTGTCTCGTTGGTGAAACAACATTGTATTATCAAAACAGATCAACCCAATATGTTGTTTAATTTGTAAAAGAAGGCTGAATTATAAAAATATATCAACACACTGTGTGTTGTTTCGTTGATGAAATAAAATTGTTGTTTCAAAAGAAAAACAAAAGGTGAGCTTTTTAAGGAAAATATTGATTAGATAATTGTGAAAGTTAAAAATATGTGATCAGTATTGGTTCATAGAGTTTCTAACATATATGACGTTTTTATATGATTTTGGATCTATATATAAAAACACAAATGTATACAAGGACACAATTAAATGGTGGGATAGGGCTTCAATGAGTTTCAAGTGTAAAACAGCAGTCTTGCAGATCTCACAAAAACAATATGGTTTCACATGATCACAATTCTTATTAAATAAATACTAGAAGGGTACTCGCGCAATGCAGCGAGATACATCTTGATTTTAATATTTTATTTTATTCTTTATCTCAGTCGATGTTATTATATGGTCTTATGTGATTTTGAAAAAGCGATGATGCTTTTATTTATCAATAAAATATAAATTTGAAGATATCATAAAATTTTGACAAAAATATATCGATATTAATATCAAATTAACTATTTGAAATTCTTATTTTTTACGTAATTTTTAATTCATTTTTTATTATAATTTAATTTACGTTCAATAATGAAGTAATTTATATTTTGTTTAATAATATAATTTTCTTTTAAATATAATAACAATTTTTTTTTGTTAGAACTCGATAATTATCCTAATTATATTTTAGATTTTTTATATTTTTAAAATTAGATCTTTATCTTCTATTTGATTATGTTTATCTGCAGTTAGTTACACGAATTCAAACATGAAGTTTTAATAAGTTGTAGTTATGCATAATTTACTTGTAATCTTGAATTTTAAGTACTATGCATCAATATACAGTACTTCATGTATAAAAAATAATTTTTGAGAGTTTTTATCAAATATTTTATAATATAGTATATATATGTAAAACAAATGTCGTAAGTTTGGTTCTTAGTTATTCTCAAAAAATTTAAATTATCGCATGATTTTCCCGTACTTATACATGTATGTACAATAAAGTAAATTTACATATTTGGTCCCTGTGGTCCTTAGGTATTATTAAGTCTGGTCCCTATAAGTCATTTATGAATAAAACACCTTTTAATGGTATGCATATTTTTGTTAAATTATGGTCCCTCCCAATAACTCTGAAAAAAGTTATTGTAACTGCAATTATGTGACCCTTACGTAAGGAGAATTTGGTATTTTACATGCACCAGAAAGGTGTTCGTGCTATGTAACTAGATAAATCTCGATTTTAATGTTTAGTTTTTTATTTTTTGTTTTTATCGATATAATACGATTTTATGTGATTTTGAGAAAGCGATAATATTTTTATTTTAAATGAAATATAAATTTGAATATAACATAAAATTTTAAAAATATATAAATCGATATTAGTATCAAATTAACTATTTGATAGTTTTCGTTTTTTTGGTGTAACTTTAATTAAATTTTTTATTACAATTTAATAAAATTTAATTTAGATTTAATAGCAAAATAATTTATTTTTTGTTTAATAATATAATTTTTTATAAAGATAATAATTAAACGTTATGTTAGAACTCAATGGTTATCTTAATTATATTTTAGATTTTTTATATTTAAAATGAATATTTATCCTGTATTTTATTATGTTTATCTGCAGTTAGTTACACGAATTTAGAATTGAAGCTTTAATAAGTTGTACTTACCTAAAATTACTTGTAATCTTGAATAAATATTAAATCTCAACCAATTAAATTTAAGAATTGTTTTTAAGAGTTTTTGTCAAATGCTCTATAATATAGTATAAATATTAAATCTCAACCAATTAAATTTAAAAATTCCCTTCAAACCAACCGTTGCAAGGGGAAGAATCTTTTTGGAATTAAGTAAAATAGCTTCACCTAAACGTTTGTTTTTTAAAATGTACTGAAATCTGAAGCCTTATTTTACTTCAGATTTATAAGAGAGAATGCTGAAGTTTGAAATCTGAATTAATAAGACCGTTTGTTTTTGTAAACTGATAAATGTCTGAATTTATTTAAATTGTCTATTTTACGTATTAAAATACTATATTGTTGAACTTATAAATAAAATTTATACAATTTAACATATTTATTCATGATCATTACGAAATTTACATCTAAATTATATAATTATCATTCATTTAAACGAAAATATGTCATTAACGTATTTAACACATTTAAATCCTATTAAAGTACATCAATTGAGAGCACATGAGGATTAATTTGGTAAAGATTGATTGAGAGAAATGATCGATTAAGGTTAATAAATAGAGAATCGTCGTTGTTAAGGGTTTGAAAACAGTAAGAGGCAAATAAGAGGTTGGTTTATCTATTAGCAGATAAGAGAACAATAAGATATAAGTGCCTTTGAAAAAAAACAAACAGTTTGAATGTCGTTACCTCTTAACGAATCAGATATAAGAGGCTAATAAGAACTTTTTTTTATAAAAAACAAATAAAACCTTAGTGATTTCTCTTCTAAAATCATCATAATATCATTAGGTCAAAACAAGTGGCAGGTCCGCAATTTAGGGACGGGCCAAAGTGAAAGAAAAAGTTTCTTAATCAGATCCGCAAGTGCAGAGACCAAATCTGTAAAGCAGATAAAGGTCCGCATGTTATAGATGTGGTCCCAACTTGCAGAACTGGTTTAGAAACCTTACATGATAGTATTTTAATTTTTTTTCTTTCACTATGGATTAAATGGTAAAAAAAATTATAGGACCAAATAAATATATGCAATTTAATTTGGGACTAATTTATAGATTTGGTCCCAACTTGCAGAACTGGTTTAGAAACCTTTTTTACACTTTGACCCCTCAATAAATTACAGACCTACCACTTGTGGACTTAGGGGCCATTCACCCAAATGCTTACCCAGTAAGCGATTACCAATAGGAGTCAACACTATAATTTATTTTGATACGTAAGATTTTAATACATCAAAACATATCAAATGCAACAATTTACTGGGTAAGTGTTTACTTGGGTAAGAGTCGTCATCCTCACTTACTGGGTAAGACTCCATTTTTCTCATCGCTCTTACCCAGTAAGATTCTTGGTTTTTCTCATGTTAATCTGATGAGAAAATTTATACATTAAATACTTACCAAGTAATTGTTTTGTAAACGACCCCTTAGTGATGTTTTGATAATTTAAAAAAAAATAAGATAAAACCACCATATGAAAATAACTATTTTAATTAGTTTTTCAAAATCTTTTTATAGTTAAGAAGTAATAAAAAAAAACCAATTTTCACCTTTTGACCCTTAATAATTCTATTTTTGGAATAGGTTTTTTGTTCCACCACTTTGACCTAACGGCTAGTTTGATTAGCCGTTGATTACATAATTATAATATAACTAAAACAAGTTGTAAATAATATAATATATTAATATACAGAAGATAGTAAAAGAATTAACATAATATAATATATTAATTAAAATAATTTTAAATGTCTTTTTGGTATTTTATTCTTTCTGATTTAATCAAACTATATTTTTTTGATAAAATAATTAATACATAAAAAATATATTATTAATAGATAAAAAACATATTACTGATACACAAAAAAAATATATAATTTTCTTACAGTTTGTTGTTTTATATTTTTGGTCATTATAGTTTTAGTTTCTTATTAGTTCGATTTCTATCAGTAACATCATTCAAGTGCAAGTCGTTGAGTATTCTCACCTCTTAATGGTTTCATTAAGAGGCAGACTTTGAATCGTTAAGAGGTGAATCTTGTTTGGCAAAAAAAGAGTCTGCCTCTTAATGGTTCCAAAACCCTCTGAATATTTTGTATTCTAGGCCTTCCTTAACCATTTAGCGCCCTAATTTCATTGTAAACAGTTACCAAATTATTCAGCAACTGACAAACAACCCCTAAATGATAAAAAATTTATATGACCAAATAAATATATGCAATTTAATTTTGGAAGATGGTGGTGGTTTGAGGAACATTCAATTGATTTGTTATCTTTGAATTTAATTTGGAGCTGAGAAAAAATGCATCGGATTTCTAAACACATTGACCTTTTAATTCATTCATGCATGCGTGTATCTTCATTTCAGGTCTATTTATATGCAATTATAATGGCATTAAATGTGAATCAAGTAGACCCTCTACTCTACACATACATACGTATGTGTTTCTACTTACCATCTCCAACTTAAGTACCATCTCCAACTTAAGGGGAGTATTAATGGCACCTCTTAATAGGAGTTGTTGAATACCTCGAGAAATGTAATTGATGTAAGTTTATCATATGTCAATGTCAAATAATAATATATTATTTTTTATTATTATTTTATTATTATATATATGCATACATATACACATACACATACATACACACACACATATATATATATATATATATAT